CCCTCCCCCAGTGATCAGTCTGCTGCAGGCAGGAGGAAGCATTTCCTCAGCCTACCCTCCCCCAGTGATCGGTCTGCTGCAGGCAGGAGGGAGCATTTCATCAATCTCCCCTCCCCCAGTGATCAGTCTGCTGTAGGCAGGAGGAAGCATTTCCTCAGTCTCCCCTCCCCGGTGATCAATCTGCTGCAGGCAGGAGGGAGCATTTCCTCAGTCTCCCCTCCCCGGTGATCAGTCTGCTGCAGGCAGGAGGGAGCATTTCCTCAGTCTCCCCTCCCCCAGTGATCAGTCTGCTGTAGGCAGGAGGAAGCATTTCCTCAGTCTCCCCTATCCGGTGATCAGTCTGCTGCAGGCAGGAGGGAGCATTTCCTCAGTCTCCCCTCCCCCAGTGATCAGTCTGCTGTAGGCAGGAGGGAGCATTTAATCAGTCTCCCCTCCCCCCAGTGACCAGTCTGCTGCAGGCAGGAGGACGCATTTCCTCAGTCTCCCCTCCCCCAGTGATCGGTCTGCTGAGGGCAGGAGGAAGCATTTCCTCCTTAAAACAATTGAGAAATGTGTTGAGAATAATAACATGCACTTCTCTAAAATGAAACATAACTCACCCAGTGCACATAATACTGGGAAAAAGTTGTCACCGAACAAAGTCTCTTTTTGTGCACAAAGTAACAAAAAGTATCTATCAGCAGTGCAGTGGAATATAATACAAAAGTGTCCACTTCTTGTTGATAAGCAGAGCCAGAAATACAAAATAAAACGTTTCATTTATGGAAATACATTTTAAAAAAACAGCAAATCAGAGCGAGTGTTCAAATTGGAATTCTGCGACTTCTCCGAGCCTTCCACTAGGGGGCAGCAGAGCTCCGCTGACTCCTGCCACAGGTTCACATCCAGCAGATCGTCAAATATAAACGACAATGGGGATTAATTAGATGGAGTTCCGATAAAAGGACGTTCAATATTAGCACAAGATTAGGCGTCTGCCGCCTGCAAACCGCCAAATGTCTTCTCTTGTCATCTCTGCTAAAACTTAAACAATTAATTTCAATAAAACTTCAACAAGTTGGGACCTGAAAAAAATCAAAATGGAACAATTAGCTGATTTCAATCTGCGTGGAAGGAATGTGACGCTGATGAAGGTGAAGGTGCAGAGTTCAAGTACGAGGGCTTCTCCACCCAAATGTATATATTGCGGGGACCAGGGTTGGAAGTAGGCGGTCCCTGCATATTAAGAGGTGGGGTCTGGGTGGGACCAACATCAGCCAAAATTCCAGCTGTGGGTGGCCCTGTCGGCACCACTCCGCCGAACAAAAATCAGCTAAAAAAAAGTTTATAGATCGAATGAAAACAGCAGAGGAGGTGCGAAGATTGTATAAAAATCTCTGATTGGCAATTTGACAACAATTCGCACCTTCAGCCATGTGAATTGAAGGGTTAACACCTATACAGACCCCCTGACAACCAAGGACTGGATTATTATACGGGATTTATATAGCGCCAATAGTTTGCGCAGCGCTGTACAATATAAGGAAGACATTACAGTCACAATACAATTCAAGACAAGACGGTAAGGAGGGCCCTGCCCCTGAGGGCTTACAATCTAAAAGGGGAGGGGCCAGTGATACATGAGGAGGGAGCTGCGTGGGGATGATTGTTTGAGAATGTGATGGTTCAGTGGTTAGGTTGAGGTGGGATCGGCTTCCCTGAAGAGATGAGTCTTAAGGGATCGTATGTGTTCGCTCACTTCCCGATCTACTGAGCCGACCTGTGACAGTTCCATTGTCACAGGTCGGCTCGAACTATGAGGTGAGTGATTTTCGCCTCATGGTTCTCCTTTAAGTATAGAGCCCGGGAGCGTTCATTGTGCGTTGCAATAAAACCTCGCTGGCTGCAACATTGGCACGCAGCTCTCAGCCCGATTCGTGGAGCTCAGTAGATGACGGGACACATTTCATATGCTGATATTATTATAACGGGACTGAGGGGAACTTCTTATATTTCCCCGGAATTCGGATTTCATAAATCAGTAACAGACACTACAATCTCCTGTATAGGACGAGGACGGAGGAGGAGGAACACCCGCGGCGTGACTCAACACACAAACCCGACATTACATCACATGATAAACACAACCAACCACAGAGCTTGTTCTGTAATCCCAAAAACAAGACCTCGGATCAACGTGAATTCCACCAGCACAATGAGGAGCATTAGTAGGTAAGAGAGACATAAAACGCGAGGTCACGTGTCTGCTCCACGCGGTCAGGACAGATGTCACCTCGCACAGATCAACCGGGGGTTAAAATTCAACCCTCAGGACTCCGATAGAAGGAAACAACGTGATGACTGTGTTCATTCCGACCGGAGGTGTCACTGTGGCCGTTCCCACGGGTGACAATGAATCGGGCAGGTTAGGAAAGTTGCTACAATGTCACTGAGTTTGAGAGTTTATAGGAGTTGTGTCACCACAAAGCTCTTTCATTTTATATAGAACACGCTATAAAAAACCTTTTGAATTTAGGGGTGCGCCAATTCCGGTATCAGTGCCGATACTGGGCACTTTCATGAGTACTCGATACTAAACGCCAATACCAGCACTTTACATTTTTAAACTGAAGTGGCTGCCTGAGGTCCCGTGCTTGCTGGGGACTTCGGCAGCCTTCCTGTTAACCACGCAGCCCTGTTTACAGCACCAGCTGCACATCTCTTCCTTCTTCCTGGGGGACCACGGGGTACTGCTTACAGCACTGCACCCGCCCGCAAAAGACCCTCCAGACCCCTGCTGAGGCCCTACATAGCCCCGCTGAGGCCCTACATAGCCCCGCTGAGGCCCTACATAGCCCCGCTGAGGCCCTACATACCCCTGCTGAGGCCCTCCATACCCCTGCTGAGGCCCTCCATACCCCTGCTGAGGCCCTACATAGCCCTGCTGAGGCCCTACATAGCCCTGCTGAGACCCTCCAGACCCCTGCTGAGACCCTCCATAGCCTTGCTGATAAGACCTTTGAGACATCAGCATCCGGCACCCCGGAGCATGAAAGAGTATGTAGCTTCATATTATTCTGCATCGCTATATAATGTATTGCAGCTTGGGGTCAGTGTCATGTCCGGTGTGGTGATATAGGTCAGTGTCATGTTAGGTGTGGCGGTATGGGTCAGTGTCATGTCAGGTGTAGTAGTATGGGTCGGTGTCATGTCAGGTGTGGCGGTATGGGTCAGTGTCATATCAGAAGTGGTGGTGTGGGTCAGTGTCATGTCAGGTGGCACGCTATAGGCAGGCATATTGCCCAGTGGTGTAGGTCAGTGTCATGTCAGGTGAGGTAGTATGGGTCGGTGTCATGTCAGGTGTGGCGGTATGGGTTGGCGTCATGTCAGGTGGCACGCTATAGGCAGACATATGGCCCGGTAGTGTA